TGACTAATATTCAAAAAAAAATATGGGTCATACAATTATATGTAAATAACTTCATTTAAATCGTTAAATGAAAAATTTTAAACCAAATATAACAAAGCTTATATTACCCGCTAATAATTTGATAAAAACATTTGTTAAAATATTAAAAGATGCATATTTAAAAAATTATCAATAAAAATATGATAAAGCTTATATTTACCCGCTATTAATTTGCCAGAAATATTTGTTAAAATATTTATTAGTCACCTTTTAAAAATTATCAATAATAATTTTAATAAAACTCATACTCACACACTAATGATCCAATAAAGAAATAAAGTTATAAATGACACCATTTAAAATCATTAACATTTGAAGCAAATAAAGCTTATACTTACGAGCTATAATTCAACAAAAGAAAATGTGCATTATAAATTTACAACGGCATAATTTAAAATAAAAATTTTAAGAAAAGTATAATAAAGCTTATACGTACCAGCTAAAAATTTGACAAGAGAAAATGTGCATTATGGATTATTAATTGCGCAATTTAAAAATTATAATATAATAAAGCCTATACTTACGACCTAATAATTCAATAAAAGTTACATATTATAAAATTATCATTTAATTTCATAATTATTAAATGAAAAATTTAGAAACCAGTATACTAAAGCTTATACTTACTTGCTGATAATTTAATAAAAGAAATGTATATTATATTAAATCAAATAAAAATCTTTGAAGCATATTTATTAAAGTTTATATTTACCCACTAATTAAATAAAAATAATAATAATAATAAGCGTTATAAATTTATAGATAACAAAATTTAAATTCAAATAAAATTTTAAAACCAATATAATAAAAACTTATACTTACTGGCTAATAATTTGATATAGGCATTCGTTAAAATATTGCAAAATATATTTTTAAAAACATAAATATTAATTTTTAAAAAAACAAATACAATAAAGCTTATACTTACTCGCTAATAATTTAACAAAGGAGTTTGTTAAATATTAGTCAATTGCATGTATTAAAAATAAATATAATAAAGTTTATACTTACATGCTAGTGATTTAATAATAAAATAAACATTACAAGTTATAAGTAGTATTGTTTAAATGAAAATTTGAAAGCGATTATAGTAAACTTATGCTCACCATCCCCTAATTCAATAAAGAAAACGTTAAGGTTGCATTAATATTATAAATAACAATTTGAGTATCATTAAATGATATTCTAGTATATAACCAAAACAATGAAATACATACTTTCTAATATTTCAAGTGAAAGTGCATTATATAGATGAAGGCAATTTAAATGATATATTCTAGCATATAGCAAAAACATTAAATACATACTGTCTAATAATTCAATAGAAAGTGCGTTATAAGTTATAATGAAGCGTAATTTAAATACTAACTTCAAAAATAATAAACTGTTATAAAATAATAAATCAATTGACTACTACCTCTTTTCTAAAGGCGAAGCATTTGTCAAGTAAACGTTCAAAATGACAAGAACTAAAGCGATGTAAATTAATTTCATTGTGACAATTAATATTAGTATTACTACTGCCTGGGAGAGCTTTGTAAAATATGGTCCAATTTAGCTCCAATACCAATGATATTTATAAGAGTATAATCGCTTATTGTTAACCGCTAACAGCTTATCACGAGACCAGCAGTTAATTTATTCGGGATCGGTTGGGATTAAATTACTTAAACAATTCAAGACGTATTAAACTATTAATCAATTTAATGGTGATGCATTTAATTAATAACGATAAGGGATCAGTATGAGGTAATTAATTAGTCGGGTCGCATACCGAAAATGTGTACAAGGTTGTGCTTCGGATGATCATGTGATGGTCCCGATGACGAACAATTATCGATTTCGTTTAATATCAACAATATCGACAATTATAATTGATCAAGTCGACTTTCCTGTGCACTGCAACTTTAGTTACTATTATTTATATCTTTATTTGCGCATAACATTAAAGAAAAAAGAATTAGATTTATTTATTTGATCTAATTCTTCAAATTCTTTAACATTAAATTAATAAATACGCAACAAAACATGAATTTATATGATTAAAAAAAAAAAGCTGTTATTCTATGAAATTTATTCATTCGCTAAAATTACTTTAAATAACTTATTTGTATTTTCGTAAGGAAAATTTTCTCAGTTCTTTAAATCATCTTTAACGTTACTTTTATTATTACAAATAAATCATAGCCAACTCTTTCTATAGCGAACTAACGTACTAAAAAAGCAAGTTCAATATAGAGAGGTTTATCATACTATATAGAGTCTGCCATATATAAATAAACGTATTGAATAAAATTATTAAGTTTTTAGTTTTTTTAAAAAAAATTTTTTTTCATTAAATAAAATACACAAATCTAGTAAATAAATTTTTTTGTTAAAAAAAAAGTTTTTATATTAACATATCGTCAAAGAATTTACAGTATTTTCAAATTACAAACAACATACATACGTAAGTCTATTAATAACTGATAATTAATTGAGAAATTTGAATTCCGGAGTAGCCATCTGAACTGATATCTGGAGCGGAACCTTGTACACATTTTCAGTATGCAGTCGGGTCAAGTAGTATGAATGGTACGTAATAATGACGAAATGATCGGATCAAAATTCGAGTACTATATGAGTGCCGACAAGCGAAAACAGGGAATTGAGTTTTCCGAAATTAATTCTACAGATCAAACCCCGAAAAACGTAATTTAGCACACTATATAATTTACGTTGTGTATAATTTAAATTTATCAGGAGTCGGATCAGAAAGCGGAGCCGGCAAAAATCGAAATTCCTGGTTTTCGCTTGTCGGCACTCATATAACAATGAGTTGTATAAAACAGATATGTACAGTATTTCACATAATAAATCACAAAAATTTCATAAACTTGAGTTTTAAACCTTATACTTCTACTTTATCAAGTAGCGAAGTCGTCTTTACTAGAGCATGGAAAGACAATGGTGTTGTATGTTCAGATTTGTTATAAAGAAACTACAATTACATATTATCCAGGCGTTTTAATTAATAGGTCAAAAGTGTTGGTGAATAAATTTTACTTATCGGAAATATTTTAAACAGTCAAGTTGTTTGTCTTGTGATGAATATTAAATAATGATCATAATTTGATAAAGTTTATTACTTAAAATAAAATATCTAAATAATGATCATAATTTAATAAAGTTATTAAAATATTTATTAATTAAAATTAATTATTATACGTATCGTTTCCGATAATGTTAAGATTAGACATAGATCAGTCAGGGTTTTTCCGCAATAAGGAAATGATCTGCAAATATATTAGAAAGGTATTCTAAACCGATTTCAATTTAAAAAACAAAAAGCATTTTTTATTATTGGAAAATAACAATCAGTTTTAAAAAAACCTTTAAAATTTTTATACAAAAAGTATTCTAAGATTATGTAGTTTAGGTGGTTGTGCACTAAATGGGACCCCCCACAGCAAAACAAGGGGATGGCCGACCAATCAGATTTTGTGATTTTATCACTATTGTGACCATCGGTTGGGAGAGCAATTGCGGATGTTAATCCAATTTAGCTCCGATGGTTCACTTGGTTCGGGATTTATAACACTTGTACACGTGTTATGATGTCACGAAACTCTTAAGCTGAGTCTGAGTTATCACTTAATAGATCAACTTTAATTATTCGGGGGGGGGGGTAATTTATTATGTAACAATAATATAAGAAATGCGAGATAATAATAAAATGATACTATAAAAGAATATAACTAAACTAATAAAACAATACATCAATACAACATATGTGAGAATCCGATTCTATAACTAAGACATCTTATGTTCTCTGAGACATTGTCTAAGACGAATAGTCTGAAGAAACTCAACTAAGGCGGAAACCCAGGCCTTAAATACCTTTTAGTTTACTAAGAGCTACTGCGCTATCTTTATCTTACCTTTATCTTTCTTGCAATGACGCGTCAAGAAAAGCCACCAAAATATTACTCACAATTCTTCTACATCTTGGCTAACATCTTGTGCGTCATTCTGCTAGACATTTTGCTCGCAATATTTACTCACAGCCTCAGCCAACAACCGGGAGACATCAATGTCTTGTTTACACAAACATACAAAACAGCATTGTCTTGTTTACATAAACATACAAGACAGCATTGTCTTGTTTACATAAACATCCCCGGAATTGACCTATATTATTAAGCTTCATTCGCCACCTAGGAATCTCACAATATTCTTGTGACCTCTAAGTCACGGGTTTTATTCTAGAACCGTGACACTATCATGTGCCTAATAATCTAATCTTTTAAAAAATAAGTTTTTCCGATTATAATATATTAGTATAAACTTAAAATATATATGGTATTCTTGTTGCTATTTTGAGTATAGATCGTTGCCGTTTCATTCGAAGATCGTTGCTATTATATTCAAAGATCATTACACAAATCGTATGAAATGCGCAAGTTCGTTGAATCTAATCCAGGCAGGAATACAATTAAGGTTAATATTACTTATTTTTTGCAAAAATTTTAATAAAAGCTTAAATTTGGATTACGCTTTACAAAATACTAAAATTGTAATTGTTGGCTTTAGAAGTTACAAGACAGAATTATGAAAAAAATTGTTATGTATAATCAATTAACTAGTGAAATATTTACTCACGCTTTTATTTAATCTTACTTTAAATTTATTGATATTAAAACTAAAAATTAATTCATGCATAGTATGTACATACCTGGCGTTATTTTTTTTCTTAAATTTTGTAGAATCAAAACTTGTTAGTCTAGTTTTTTCTTGAACTTTGAATTAAATATATGTATATAGGCTACGTGCTTGCATATTTTACTTACCTATTATTTACATTTAATATACTATTATCTTTAGTAAAAAAAAAAAAAAAAAAAAAAAAAAATCGATTCTCAATTTAATATACATTTTTTCGTGATACATATACATTTTTCTTCGTGATACTAGTTAATATTATGGAGCATAGTATTTATTTCAATAATGATAGTGCAAATAATAATATTTCAACAGCCTTAGCAGAACTAGATGATACATTTTTGTTGAAAATTCAAGTTCTGAAAGTGATCAAAATATATCAGATAACGAAATTAAATCCGAATCAGACGATAATAAAAACTTTGAGGATAATTCTAATACAACATATTTAAGTAACTTTGAATATATAGATAATCCGAATAATTATATTAAAGATAAAGTGTATGAAGATCTAAAATTAAAAGTAGGAGAACTTTTTAAAAAAGGAAAATGTACATGTCGTTCTAAATTTTGAAAAAATTGGATATGAACGTTTCCTTGCACGTCGAATAGAGTTTGAAAGTTTAGATAAAAATATCCGTGACATGGTTATTAAAGGACAGCTTTTAGCTTTCCAAAAAGATGAGAATACAAATAAAGTTAATACAACTAATAGAAAATATCTACGGTTTAATTATTGTTATAATAATAGTCTTCCAATTTGTCGCGCTACATATGAGGCTCTTGTTGGAGTTAGCCATAGTTATATAGATTCTATGATACAACATTTAAAAAAACATGGACTTGAAGAACGTATTCATGGTAGGGTTGGGGGCATAGAGCCTATGGGCATGCCCCTATCATGTGATATTAGGCAAAATGTGATTGGCCAATTTATGTTAATCAAAATATATATTAATCTTATATATGTAATGCAATTAATATTTTACCTTTCCAATTACAATTAGTTTTTAAAAATTCCTTCGTAAATAAGCAAATAAGCATAAACCCGCATAAAAAAAATGTAACTTTGTAGTCCATAAGGGCTACAAAGTTACACTTTTGTTTTTTTCAAATTTATATATACTTATCAAAAGATAATTTGTACTATTACTTCGTGGTCATAAAGTTTATTCAAATTTTAACAGTACCTGATATGCTAATACAATACTGTGCACGCCCTCAGGACCATAGTAAAAAAAAAAGTCAAATTGTGTACTTAGAGGGTGTGCATTTAAAAGAATTAAAATTTATAATTATTGTATTAGCAGGATTATTTCATCATCTAATGATGGTTCATAAGAACTCACCTGTCACAATCAAACCTGATGAGGTTAGAATATGTCATGCAGTGATTCTTGATCATACATAGAAATTCACCTGGTAAGCTGGAACCCATATGCATAACTGTGTCTTATAATCTGTTCATGGTTATGAGACATAAAGTTTTTTTTGATCACACCAGGAATTTATCTAACAGAACCAAAACCTCCAAGAATGATCTGATCGAAAACTCACAAAACTCATCTTTTCATTACTTGAAATTGATGAACAGGAAGGTATTCATCGATTTTAATTCAGTTTTATTTTAAAAATTGATACAGATCACATTATTAAGAAAGAAAATTTACTTTTAAGAAATTTCAGGTTATCATAACTTAATAAAACACTAATCTACTCGTTCAATTTTTTAAAAAAAACAAGGATGTCAGCTTCTTAATGGTTGTCACAAACTTTTTAATAGATGTGTCGGGTTTTCATTTCATCAAGGTCTCTTCATTACTCTCATTAAGGCAAAGGCTTGTTCAGTTAGTAGAAATATAAAAGCTATACTAAAAATGTTAACTATGCCCCTTCAATAAAACAGCTCTGAAGCTCATAACTCTATTACTGAGCTCTAAGGAAATAAATCAGATTCAGCAAAGTAAGTCTAGACATTTGACATATACCTACATTGATGTGTTACAACCAACACTTACATGATAGCATTATAAGTTTACATGCAAGATGTCTATTCAAAAAAAGAAACTGAATTAGTATACAAATGTGAATAGGTTAAATTTGAACCACGAGGGTTCAAACTATGCTGTGTAACCCAAAAACCACAGATGTAACCTGGCACAGGAAAAAAAAGAAAATTTCAAGCAAAACTAAACTAATCAATATTTTTTTCTTTTAAAAATATATTTCTTTTTTTATATTTTTTTATTTTTAATTTTGTATTTTTCTTTATTTAATTTTTTTTATTTTTGATTTTCATATTTTCTTATTTTTTTTGATTATTTCTTCATGTTTTTTTCTTCTTTTAAAAAAAACAAAAAGTGAAAAACAGAATAACTAAAAATAAACAAATAAAACTAAAGTATACTTTCCAAAAGAAATCTGCAAATAATAATAAATATGAAAGAACTAAAATTCTTTATTTTTTAAAAAAAAAATCAAACAATAAGTTAAAAATCAAATGAAGGAAAAATGCAGACTAGAATGAAATAAAATACATATCTTGAATTTTTTTCCTTCTATCAAGCTTTATCTGGTTCTTCACTATAATGCCAAAAATTACTTTTGAATTTCTTCATATTTTTTTTTTTATTTTCTTCCTTTTTATAAACAAAAAGTGAAGATCTAAATAACTAAAAATGAAAGAATAAAACTAAAGTATAAAATATGTAAGATTTGAATAAACAAATATAACTAAAGTATACATCTCAAAATATGTTAGTATCTAATATAAAGGAACATAAATATAAAAGAACTAAAACTCTCTTCATTTTCCACAAAGTCTGTTCAAAGGTACTTCATTGCCTAGAAGTCTTCTTGAACCAACATTTGGTTTAAGGTAATCCAACTTCTAGTTCAAACCTGAATTGGGTTTTTAAAAACTAATATCAGTTCAAAATAACCTGATTTGATTATTTTAACCAACTTCTGATTCAAAGTAATCTCTTTAACCAACTTCTGATTCAAAATAACCTTGATAAACCAACTTCCAATTCAAAGTAATCTGAATTTAATTTCTGGTTCAAAGTAATTCAATTCGAGTTTCTTTAACTTCTGGTTCAAAAACCTGATTCAGATCATGTTAAGCCAACTTTTGGGTTAAATTATCTTTGAACCTTCTTCTTCTAGTTCTAAATAACACTTATCAGGTCTCTTTAACCAACTTAAAAGTAATTCAAATAGGTCTCTTTAAACCAACTTTTGGTTCATAGTATCCTTATTGCTGGGCCCAAAGTGTACCATCATTGGAGGTGTCAAAAGAAAGTGAAATTTTTTTTCTTCATATTTATTTCCTTTTCATATTTTTTTTATAACTTGTTTCTTCTATGTATTTTTCTATTTTAAAAATAAAAACAATTAAATAAAAATCAAAGAAGGAAAAATAACACTAGAACAGAATAAGAACATAGCTTTAAAGTTTTTTTCTTACTTTAGTTCTTCCTTTTCACAACCAAAAAGTAACATCATAAAACAAATGAATAGCCACAAGAAATGAAAAAAATACAATTGTAGAAAGTTATGATATAGATGTAAACAATAAATATCAACAATCTCTCATCATATGTAATATTATGAAAAAACATAAATTACATATGATTAGTAGATTTACTCATGATTTTCCATAGCCAATTAAAATTAAATTTGTTATTCATTTATATCAGTAGTATAGATTATTTATATTATCTGTCAATGAAAGATAATATAAATAATCTACGGTTTACTTTAAATCAATTTTACTTATTATCTTGACCAATAGAAAAATTCAATTAAACTAAAGAAACTTATTTATACAGTTTAAAGTACAATTTACATTAATAACTTCATGTTAAATAGTACATTCGTATGATTGGCAGTTTAAATCAATTTAATTTTATATTATTTATACAGTTTAAAGTACTTTTTTAAAAAAAAGAAAACTACTATAAATAAACAAAAAAGAAGTATATAGAAAGTTTTATTAGGGTTGTAGAACTCTACTACTAAAAATAAAAAAAATCTTTTTTGTTTTAGAGAAGTTAGCATGGTGATAACCTAATTTTAAGAAGTTGCTATTATGCTAACTTCTCTAAAACAAAAAAGATAGTAGTTTTCTTTTTTTTAAAAAAGTATTTTAAACTAAATAAATAATGTAAAATTAAATTGATTTAAACTGCCAATCATATGAATGTCTTGCAGAACTATCAAATAAACCATGCCAAATTTGGCACTAATTTATGCTAACATAAAAAGCCACTCTAATTTAAAGTTCAATTTATTTAAAATTATTTATATATATGTATTTATATATATTACAATAAATCCAACAATCCAATACTAATTCGCATGTTGATTAATAAAAAAAATCTTACAAATATACAGTACAGTTAGGATCTTAATGATTTTAACATAAATGTTTTATAATTTATAAACTTTTACAAACAGTTTAAAATAATCATTATTGTAGATCCTAATTTACTAAGAAAAATAAAAAAATCAGAAATATACAATAGAAAACCAGTAAAGAAAACTAAATAACCATACAGCAAAGCTCATATTGAGCATAATAGTAGCATCTGGCAGCTAGACATAGATATACCAACAACAAATACAGCAAAGATTAAGAGGAAAAGAGACAAAGAGACTACTTCTACAACTAAAAATGACACACAAC